ATTCTGTCTCCTGCAGTAATTCACCGAGGGAAGTGAAAACCATAGTTTTTCTTCTTCTCCTCTTATAATATCTTCTGATTCACTTCGTTGCGGGAACCAAGACAGTTACTCATGTCCCTGGGACGCGCCGGACTTCAGTGTTCCGGTGTTTTCATGGTTGTATCTACTGTAGATCCTGGCTTACAGGAGTTGCAGCGGTTTTGGGAGGTTGTGGCGGGGTTGTCCCCTTTAAAAAAAAAAAAAAAAAAAAAAAAAAAAAAAAAAAAACAAAAAAAAAAAAAAGCCCCACTCTATCTAGGTGTAAAGTCCTCATCAATACAAATTAATCAAGCCCAAACACAAGGTAGTCAGTTAATATAAACCGTTAAGGAATTCCCTCGACTGTCTCTCGGCTCCATCATCAGGTCGACCCTTATCAAATTGTAGTGTTTAAAAATACTAATTGCAAAACATAATAGACGCACTACATGCCCCTACAATTTTCGAAAGTTCCCCTCGGTTTCCCTAGAATCCCATCATCAGATCCTGACCTCATGGAAATGGGACCATCTCGAGAGTATACCCTTTCAAACAAAACAAGAATTTTGGAAATCGGTTCACAAATGGCGGAGCACTGCGCGAACAAACAAAAAAACAAAAAATACAATCAGCCGAACATAGTACCTCCTCCTTTTTTGAAGTCGGTAAAAATAGACTTTCTCGTTGCCTCGTTGCCGAGTGGTCGCAAGTGCGACTGGGCAAAGAGTCTCGGGTGCGATTCCCGCAAAGCACGACTGGGTTTTAACAAAAACCTCAGTACTGATAACTAATTTTTATTTTAATATCCGTCTGGTAGATTATATAAAAACATTATTTATTAACATATAATTTTTGTTTTTAAAATACATATAAACTTATTATACGATTATATATAAACATATATTTTTGGTTTTTACGTTATACATCCAAAGTACTCCTTATGGCAAGTTGTTTTGCCGCGGGACGGAAACGAAATAGATTATACGTCGTATTGTATACTAGCTAGCTACTGCCGCGATGTTTAACCTGCTACTGAGCTCCTATTGGGATGATGACAGGGTATGAAAATTAAAAATCTAATTAGTCCGTCAGTTAGGTAATGAAAAAATATTAGACACATATTTTTTTATTTTGTTGCATAAGAAAACAATACTTAGATAAAACGAATCAAAGTTTAGGAGTGGGGCTAAAGCGTCATTTCTATGTATAAAATGTAATAGAAGTGACGTCAAGCGACATTTCAAATCAATATATCATAGAAAGAATTCGTTTCTGTCAGAAAATAAAAAATACGTGTCTAATGATTTAAAATAATCTACCAGACGGACATTAAAATAAAAATTAGTCATCTACCCTGTTAATCTAATAATGGCGTGATGTTTTAGAGCCTGTAGCCTCGCACGATAAATAGACTATCCAACAAAAAAAGAATTAATTAATTCGAACCAGCAGAACCTTTTCGCCATCGACCCTCACGACAGCATATACATCCCCATCATATAGATGGTTGGCAGGCCACAACTGTGCGGTTCTCACGTAGCTTTCTGCCTCGCACAGCAAAACTGTGGAATGATCTGTCGTCGGCGGTATTTCCGAACCGATACGACCTTCAAACCTTCAAGAAAAGTGCTTGTTCCTATTTAAAAGGCCGGCAACGCACCTGTGATGTTCTCCTCTGGTGTTGCGTGTGTCTATGGGCGGCGCTGATCGCTTACCATCAGGTGATCCGTCTGCTCGTTTGCCTCCTATTCCATATAAAAAAGTTCCGGAGATTAGCGCGTATACATATTACACAGAGATTACAAGATAGTATAACATTAGTAATTCTTTCACAAGCTACGTTTAACACCTACCTATTATTGGAAGCAAGTATAACAGCTCACACATAGGACCCACTTAGTTTTTAGTCAAATTTCCGTGGTGCTTGGCGACTGGGCTTCACTCAGTTGTACAGTCTCTTCCTTGTGCCTTTAGGCTTAATTCATTCTGTCTCCTACAGTAATTCACCGAGGGAAGTGGAAACTATCGTTTTTCTTCTGGTTCACTTCGTTGTGGGAACCAGACAGTTATTCATGTCCCTGAGACGTTGGACTTCATTGTTCCGATGTTTTCATGGTTGTATCTACTGTAGATCCTGGCTTACAGGAGTTGCAGCGGTTTTGGGAGGTTGTGGTGGGTTTGTCCCTTAAAAAAGCTACGTTTAAAAAGAACCGAATTCAACTCCTCCTTTTTCTGAAGTCGGTTAATTAATATACGAAAACCTTCTTCAAAGTGCACAAACACTTTTCTGTGAACCGCATCAAAATTGGTTCAGCCAATCGCGAGATAAATTTGCACAAACATAAGATAAAGATACATTTATTTGTATAAACATATCATGCGTAGTTAACATTATACATTCCAATGCAAATACAGACGGTAAAGTAAGTAATGCAGACATAAATACATACAGGTCAACTAAAAACCTAATTTATTGAAGTCTGCTACACAATAAATTGTGCACCCTTTTTCTTCTCCCGCCCGGGTGAAGCGTAGCTCCGGCACTTACAGCCATAGCCCCGACAACCAGTTAAGTGCTCCTCGCCTCCGTATCGGCATCATCTCTATTGTGCCCCATCCGTGGTGGTTTGACGGCTCCTTAAGGCGCACGTCGAACTTGACTGGGTATTGGGTCTCTGGTAACCTCACTCACACGATGAAACACAACGCAAGCGTTGCTTCACGTCGGTTTTCTGCTCCGCCGTGGTATCACTCCGGTCGAGCCGGCCCATTCGTGCCGAAGCATGGCTCTCCCACATCTGTAAATCTAAGTATAAATAGTTGACATTTCCAATATGTTAAACTGGACTAGTTAAAAGCAGAGCCGGATTAAACATAGCGAAGCGCCCTAGGCAAGCACCTTACTGGCGTCTCTAATTGTTTTTGGGCGCCGTCGTCACTCCATCGGCACGCGCGTCTGTAACCTAGCACCCTAGACAGGGTCGTCTTAGACTACACTGGCGCCCTTGAGTATACAAGAATGCGGAGCCCTTATGGAATATTACATTTTTTAACGTTGTACCATTCTAGGATTTTCTCCTATATACCGTGGGTGCATTTACAAACATACAAGTTCACATTCACATGACACAGAGACCCGGAACCATAATCTGTGAGTCACACAAAGAGTTGTTCCGTGCGGGAATTAAGCTACACGTTGCGGGGCAGCCAGTTGGCGGGCATACTTGTAGCGGGTGTGCATAAAAGTCAAAGTCAAAATCATTGATTTCAATTAGACAATAAATGCACTTTTGAACGTCAACAAAAAATTAAAGGCGAAGCTATTTGCTCATTCCAAGGTGTAGATTCCTATGGAGAAGAACGAGCAAGAAACTCCATAGGTTACTCTTTTTCAATCAGGTTCACAATACAATTCTCTAGTTACTTAATTTTGTTGTTTGGATTGTGCGAGAACAATGTAACACTGAACTCTAGACAAAGAGATCGAAAAAGAAAATAAGAGAAGAACCTTAACGACAATAAATAATAGAGTCTGAAGCTAACCAGTCCCAGTTTACAGCGCCCGTTCATCGTAGAAATTGTCGGTCCTTCGGGGCCCCTTGGCACGGGGCCCGAGTGCCTTTAGTGCAAAGACGGTACTGGCCCTAGTTACTTGAGTAGTTTGCCTTAGACATAATACAGTCCTGGCGTTAAAGCATTTACTAATACCCTAAGGACAGCGTGTTTAATTCAAAATAGGTTTAACGTTCGTCTTAGACTTATACTAGAGCCACGTGTTTCTTCGAGAAGGCGATTAAAATAATTATGTGTTTCGGAAGTAATGTATTAAATGTGTATGGATAGAAAGATTTATTTTTATACTTAAAAGGTTGACATTTGGCCTCCATCTCGCCTGGCGGTGTTCAATGATGCGGCCTACGATGGAGCACGTCGTCCCATAAGCAACCTATTCACTCGGGCCTTGAAGACACCCAGGTTATTTATACCCTTCAGGAAATACAGACTCTGGCAAAGAATTCCACTCCTTACCAGTACGCACAAGGAAGCTTGATGCGAAACGCTTCGTGCGTGTGGGTGGGACATCTAGCATGAGTCGGTGACGCTTCGCCGATTGTCTTGTGCTACGATGATGGAAAGGAATAATACAAAAAGTGTGTACAGGTAAATTTAATGCCTTGGGCATGGTCTCCCAGTCAACCTTTAAGTAGTGCAAAGATGAAACTAGCAGGTCCCATCGTACAATCAGAAATATTATAACAGAAGAAAAAAATAGCATAGCGTAACGCAACCTTTTTATCCCCGATGGCAGAGCATTACGACACTTAATGCCACTGCGTACACTGTAACACACACTTTTCACTATTTATGAGTCCCATGTACCTATTACATGGGTGAGCCTATTGCCATATACCGGGCACATTTCCAAACTCCATGCTACCACTGATAATTAAAAAAAACCCAGTAATACTTTGCCTGATCCGGGAATCGAACCCAAAATCCTTTACCGGCGACTCAGCACTTGCGACCACTTGGACAACGAGGAAGAAAACTAATATTATGCAACAATTAATGTCAATAAACTTTTGAGAAATTCCTTTTTTAAAGGCAGTCAACGCAACTGTGACTCCTCTGGTGTTGCGGGTGTCCATGGGCGGCGCTGATCGCTTACCGGTGATCCGTATGCTCGTTAGCCTCCAATTCCATAAAAAAATTACAACCTTACGACTGATCAACTGGAAAATTAAATCATTCATAATCGCCTATAATTCCCAAACCGGTTACCACCGGCTTTACCCATAGGACAGTACCACGCAAAACGTAAAATCCTAATTAATAAAATCCACTTTAAAAAAATAATATTACAGTTCGTAGCGAAAATAGTTCGTCCACTTGTATCGTATTTCCCATGCTACCCTCATTAGCATAAGTTCTCTTTCTGCGCTGGTATATAAACGGGTCCCGTACCATCCTAGACCACAGTTCGTGTACAGATCTCAAAATGTTCTATTCTGTTCTATTCTTCGCTGTGTCTTTTAGCTGTGTACTCGCTAATAGCAATGAGATTAAGGTGAGTTTGTCTGTATGTATATTTTTTATCTAATAAGCCTTTTTATGAATGAGAAATGGAGTTGAGATGTAGTCTTAAATTGTCATCAATTGTCACAAGTAAAAAGAGTCTATTGTTTTGCACGGATAAACAATTACAGATTATATTACTAAATTATATTACTTTCCCTGTCTCGTTTGGCCTCGGGTTCGATTGCCCGGGTCGTGTAAAGTATTCTGGATTTGCGCCCGGTTTTTGGCAATAGGCTCACCCCCTATTGCATGGGACTCATACCATAAATAGTGAAAAGTGGGTGTTACATTGTACAGTGGCATTAAGTGCCGTAGATAATGTGCACCTCTGCCTACTCCTTCGGGAATAAAAGGCGTCATGTTATGTGAAGTTGCTTATGGGACGACGTGCTCCATCGTTGGCCGCGTCATCGCTTACCATCAGGCGAGATAGTGGTCAAACGTCGGCCCATCAAATATATATAATTATATAAAAAAAAATTTATGTAGGTAATGCTCCGTAATAACACATAAGCTACTTTTTACGCGGGCGAAACCGCTGGCAGTAGCTAGTAGATAAACATTAAGTAAAGTCACTAAGTAGTTTTATTTATTTATTTATTTGGACATCCTGTTGTTGCTACATTTTTATCATTAACTTAAAATTAGGAATTAACATCTTACTGTTTATATCAATTAAATTAAAATTTATCTAATTTCTCTACATTACCAAATTTACAATAAATAAGAATTATATAATTAGTAACGACTTTTGTTATTACTCATTATACCTCTACAATAGTCAACCCTGAATACAAAAATATAAATACAAAACAAAAGAATAATCAAAGATCAAAATGACACAGTCATTAAAAGCTCAATAATAAAAAATTAACATTAAAATAAATAGATAAAATCGGTTGCGGAACAAATCAAGTCAACAGCAACATAATAACACAAAGTCAACAGCACACCACAACACTAAGCTTCATCTCTTAACAATCCCAGAACAGCTTTTTTGAATAGTTAAACCCTTAATCTATGCCTTCAGTCATGTATTGGTGTTTATAGGATGGCGGATCGGATAGAGGAGCTCACAGCGACCGAGCAGGCCTGTGGTTTGGTCCCAGACTCGGCAAACGGTCCTTAAGAATATCCACTGAAGACAACAGGTTGGTATTATATTTATTTACGATTCTGTATATAATATACGATGGCGGACTTAATGGCCGGGTGGCATTCTCTAACAGTCAACCATGAGGTAATGCAGAGATGTGCAACAGTAGGTGTAATAGGTGTTATGATTTCATTTATGAAACGCAGAATAAACCTATATAACTAAATAAATTCATAATTGGGTACTTTCCTTAATGAAAAATAAATTGTTTCGACTGTTCAATACAGTGAGATATTAAAAAATAGTCACACTTTCATTAATTGATTTTATGACCAACTAATTTTAATATTTTTCCAGCAAATATTTGAGAAATCAGTATGTCGTTTGACGCTAAAAAAAACGTGACGTCACAATACACAATCTCTTACAAAATTCATAGAAAACTGTCGTTTTTGACAGTTCGAAAAAAGTATTGAATTTTATTAGTTGTCAAAGTACCCAATTATATTTGCCTTTGGTCAGCACTGGCCACTCATAGACTGTTAATTATGATTAAAAAAAACCTATATGTTTAATCTAGTCATTAGACGTTTGTACCGAGCTGAGATTCCATCCCTGAATATACCGAAATACTGAAGTGAACACACAAAGAGTTGTTCCGTATGGGAATCGAACCTTGGACTGCACGGTTGGCGTGGTGGCTGGGCAACTGGCTGCCGCGCAACGTGTCGCGGGTTCGATTCCCGCACGGAACAACTCTTTGTGTGATCCACAGATTGTTGTCCCGGGTCTGGGTGTCATGTGTATATGAACTTGTATGTTTGTAAACGCACCCACGACACAGGAGAAAATCCTAGTGTGGGGCAACGTTTAAAAAAAAAAAAAAACCCGCGACACGTTGCGCGGCAGTCAGTTGCCCAACCACCGCGCCGAGCGTGCAGTCGCACCATGCAGATGTTTGCGTCGCCATGGAGCCCCGGTGAAATATTAAGAGGAGAATAAAATCAATATTCAACACTTCCCACAGATCTCGTCACTACTAATTTGACGAAAATACATATTAACTCGTCGAGTACCGTCATTATAGACACAATTATAGAACAATAGGTTGCGGTCACCGGTGACCGCTTGGTGTTTGACAGTTAAAATGCTATCGTTTTCTTCCATAAGAATCAATACTAGCAAAACAACAAGGAATGCATGATTGGGACAATTGTTTTCAAGTTTTGCGCTAACTAACATATATCGCGATATATTACCTAATATCCTAGTCACCTACAAACTAACATTTGTTTTTAGACAAGCATTCTTCAAACTATTGGAAGCAGCGGACGCATTGAAATATTACTACGACCGATTGCCTTATGAGATGCAGGCAGACGAACCTGAAACTCGAGGTCAGTATAAATATTGTCATGAGCTAATGTTCACATGTAAACAGCAGCTCATGTAAAGAGATTGTTCAGTCAACTGATGGTAGCGGTGACTGTCCAGGCGACACACGTACTTAGGTATCGTCATGAGCCAATGTTCACATGTAAACAGTAACTGATGGTGTATTTTTGTCAACAGTTACCAAAAAAGTAATATTTACTCCTAAGTTGGGAAGGAGTTTGGCTTACGATGATAAAGCATTTGAGAACGTTGAGTTCACGCCACGATTGGGAAGACGATTGGCTGACGATATGCCTGCGACGCCTGCTGATCAAGAACTGTAAGTATTATCATTACCATTATAAGCATGCTAACATTAATCTGGTTGCTCCTCCATCCTTTGGGGCTCAGAGATCCGCTTTCCTGTTTTTGCCTTCCCTTCATTCTCCAGTTCATTCGGCCTTTTAGATCCCAATTGTGTACTCGCCAACTAGTCAAATTCAATACTTTTTTCGAACTGTCAAAAACGACAGTTTTCTATGAATTTTGTACGAGATTGTGTATTGTGACGTCACGTTTTTTTAGCGCCAAACAGCATTCTTATTTCTTAAAACTATGCTGGAAAACTACTAAAATTAAGTTTGTCATAAATCATTTTTTATGGGATAAGCCAGTAAACGTGTAGACGGATCACGATTAGCAATCGGCGTCGCCCACGGACACCTGGAACACCAGAGGCGTTACAAGTGCAAGTTACAAGTACCAGCCTTATGGGATTAGGAATTTGATGATTGTTGGGGATTCAGGGATTGGGGACGGGGTTTATTGGGCCTCCGGTAACCTCACTCACACGATGAAACAAAACGCAGGCGTTGTTTCACGTCGTTCTTCTGCTCGGTGGTATCACTCCGGTCGAGCCGGCCCATTCGTGCCGAAGCATGGCTCTCCCACACTTAATTAATGAAAGTGTGATTATTTTTTAATATCTTATTGTATTGAACAGCCGAAATAATTTATTTTTGATTAAGGAAAGTAAGAACCCAATTGTGAAGGAATTTCCTCGTATATCAAAAGTTGTACTTACAAGTGTCTATTGCCATCATGTACCCCAAAACTTGGGTCAAAGATGACAGTCATCATCATCATTTCCTCCAATGACATCTTCGACAGTCCGATGATTCTATTTCGTTGCGGGATGCAAGACAGTTGTTCATGTCCCTGGGACGTTGGACTTCAGTGTTCCGGTGTTTGCATGGTTGTATTTATTGTAGATCCTGGTGTACAGGAGTTGCAGTTCAGTTGTAGATAGGTAGATTAAGATGTATGAAAGGTTTTGGGAGCAGTAGCTCATACCATTTTACATGGAACACTGGCATACCTAACTACTTAGATATTATTATGTGCTTTCGAGAAGAAAACATTTGGTGTTTTTGTTACAAAAAAAAATCTTTTATATTCTACCAATTTATTACAAATGTTCTCAAATGTGATGACAAATGACTGCCTCGTTAGCCGACTGGTCGCAAATGCGACTAACAGGGGTGTCGGGTTCGATTCCCGGGTCGGACAAAGTATTACTGTTTTTTTTTAATTGTCAGTAGTAGCACGGAGTCTGGAATTGTGCCTGGCAATAGGCTCACCCCCTATTACATGGGACTCATAAGTCATAACAGAAAAAGTAAAAAGTGGGTGTTACGTTGTATAGTGGCATTAAGTGCTGTAATGTGCACCTCTGCCCACCGCTTCGGGGATAAAAAGGCGTGATATTATGCTATGTTCTTCTCCAATGTTTATTTTCTTACCGTTACCTTATCCCTTTTCTCTTCTTAATAGGTACAGACCAGACCCCGATCAAATTGACAGCAGGACGAAATACTTCTCACCAAGACTCGGCAGGACGATGAATTTCTCACCACGACTTGGCAGGGAATTGTCCTATGGTATGTATGTTTAAAGGTTCCTCTATCGACCACTTCGGGGTTAAAATCTGTATTATTTATTTTCCCAGTGTATTACATCTTTCGATAGAATGGACATGCGATGCGTTCAACAAGTCAAAGAT